ATATTGGAATTCTATTTTCTCTTTTGATCAAGTTATTGCCTAAAATAATGTGAAAAATAGAATAAGTTTCCTACAATCTCATGATTTGTCCAAATCTCAACGATGTTTCAATCATCCTCTTTTGCTTCGCTTTGAAGTGCTACATATTCCAGAATTTCAAACTCTTCAGCTTTCTCGCACAGCAGAATCTCCATTCTAATGTATAAACCCTCTATAATCTATCTATCTAACGCACGTGGTTAAAGCTCGTTACAATATTGAATATTATCAATCGCTATCCCCTCCCACGTAAGAACCCATTTTAAACAGTAGATAATCGTTTACAAACACGTCGTCATTTATCAAAGTTTATATCACACTTCAAGAAACAGCTGCTTAGATCTACACACATAACTGTACAACATACTTAAAACATACATGCTTAGGCTTATACACTTAAATAAAAAATATGTTTATACTTTACGTAATCACAAATCATACTTTAAGAAATAGCTGCTTAAATTACACATAAACCTACACGATACTTCAAAAGGTGGTGTTTAGATTGGCACATAACCGTACAACACACTACAAGAAGGTGGTGTTTAGGTTTACACATAACCGTACAACACATACAAGAAGGTGGTTTTTAGGTTAACACATAAACCTACAACACATTACAAGAAGGTGGTGTTTAGGTTTACACATAACCGTACAATACACTACAAGAAGGTGGTGTTTAGGTTTTCACATAACCGTACAATACACTACAAGAAGGTGGTGTTTAGGTTAACACATAATCGTACAACACATTACAAGAAGGTGAGGTTTAGGTTAACATATAAACCTACAACATTACAATAAGTCGGGGTTTGAATTGTTGTTTGTTTTAGAGCAAAGCCACATGGGGCTATCAGCTGTGTCCTCCGCGAAGATTCTAACCCCGGATTTTAGCGTTGTAATTCTGTAAACTTACCGCTGTTCCAGTGGAGGACCATCGGTGTTTGGATTTATTTGAATATATCCCTACGCCGCAGTTCACAATGATTGTCTCATCAAAATACAGATGATAGAAAAACTGACAAAATATTTTAAACTTTCACAAACAAACTACAGGGATTCATTCACAAGACAGCATGTCATTATAAGACATAAAAAATAGTCTACAGAAGTAAATGCACGTAATATTCTTCAATTATTCATGTAATTGTTTTTTGTTTGTTTTTCATATTGATATGTGTTTCAAAAAACAAAGAAAGTATCGCGTCAAAGTAGAGCAAGTGATCACGTTTATGACACACGTCGAGCCCCTCAATGGCACAGCGGTATGTCTGCGGACTTACAACGCTAGAATCCGGGTTTCGATACCCGTGGTGGGCAGAGCACAGATAGCCCTTGTGTAGCTTTGTGCATAATTAAAAACAAACAAAAAACAAACACACACACGTCGATGTGCGCAGCCATCATTTTTTTTAAAGAAGGGACTCACTTCAACCTACCAGTTTCTCAACGATATATTATAGTTGATAATAAAACAACATAATATT